CAAAACAAAACAAAACAAAACAAAACAAAACAAAAACGAGGCAAAACCCCGTTTTGGAAACCAGGTTTGCAATAACTCTCAAAATAGCGGGAAAACAAAACAAAAAGCAAACAAAACAAAAAAGAAAATCGAAAAACGAAGCATCCATATTTGATTTATTACTTAAGATAATTACTTAAGATATCATCAAAAAATCTTCTGTTCAAATTCTTGTCAACAATGCGGCTATGACATCAGATAAAAACAAAAAATCGACAAATGATTTCAATCCGGCTAGTTCCCTTTTTTATAAATCATAAAATATTCACATTATTGAGTACGTTTTCAAGCGTAATGGGTAGATAGATATGATAAATAAGTTAAATATTTAAGAAGTTCAAGACCGCGTATGTAGAAGTATTTTCGTTCACAATATTCGACAGACAAGCTAAGAAGACAGACAAAATGTCGTTTGTTGGAAGCACGAAGAGAGTTTTCTATGAAGTGAGTAAAAATTGCAAGAGGAGTAAAAAGAGCTTCGCTTATGCTTCCATATAGAAACATCTAGATAAGAAATAGAAAAACAAACAGAATTTTGTCGTAACTCTTTTCATACTTTATCTGCACGAGCTTCTGATGGTAAAAGAAAAGTATAGTGTTGTCTGAAGAGGTATTGATGAACGTCACGCAAGAGGTTACAATTAGAACGTCACGTTGGAGTGACTGGCCAAGGAGGACGTAACGGTAAGGGTTCGAGCAAAACGTCATGCTGTTCTTGTTAGGCTGCATATCTTTTCTTCAAGTTTTCTCGAACACGCTGGAAAACCACAAATTAGGATTATGATTTAGCTTACCAAAAAACAAAAGTATTTGAAGTTTATTTACAATCTTTTCATCTTAGGATATTTTGTCAGAAAGACTTTACCACATTTCAGTAGTTATTAGAATGTTGGCGCAGAAAAAGTTAATTTGCCCGATGATGATGATGGTGATGATAATGATGGCAATCATGATAATGATGGTGATGGTAAAGAATGGTGATGGTGAAGATAACGAGGATCATGATGGCGATGATGATGATGGTGGTGATGGTAATGATAATGATGGTGATGATGGCAATGATGGTGGTGATGATGGTGGTGATGATGATGATGATGGTGGTGATGGTGATGATGGTGGTGATGATGGTGGTGGTGATGATGGTGGTGCTAATACTGGTGATGATGATAGTGATGATGATGGTGGTGATGGTGGTGATGATGATGGTGATGGTGGTGATGATGATGGTGGTGATGATGGTGGTGCTAATACTGGTGATGATGATAGTGATGATGATGGTGGTGATGGTGATGAGAATAATGATGATGAATGATGGCCCAAGTACAGAGGAGAAACCTGGCTAACTCCAAAAATAGTTCATGGTCTTCCTAATGTTAGACGCTCCTTATCGTTGAAGCAAGTATTGACTAACATACCTTATCATATAGCTTGGCTCTCAATCGATTTGTCTTGTAGAAGGCATTGCGGCGATCATCGGCTTTCTGCGCCTTCACTTCTGGTAGGTTATTATAGAGTCTAGTAAAACAGAACAACCCGAATAAGTGTACTGCTACAGAAATGATTTAAGATGAATTGTAGTGCAAGAAATGGCCGTTGCTCTTGATAAAAAGGAGAATATTAGACAAAATGAAATCAAGTTTCTAGTTTCTCGGAATTCCTAAAATAAGGTAGCGCAACGCAAGAATCCTAGATTCTCTGTCTGTCTGTTTGTCTGTCTGTGTGTGTGTCTGTCTGTCTGTGTGTGTGTCTGTCTGTCTTTCTGTCTGTCTTTCTGTTTTTCTGTTAATTGCTAAGATTTTCGAGAGAATAGTTTTTAACCAGTTATATGAGTATCTAAACTCAAATAATTTACTTTCTCAAAAGCAGTCGGGATTTAGACCGCTTCATTCGACTACTACTGCACTCCTAGAAGCCACAACGGAGTGGCTTACCAATATGGATGAAGGTAAATTGAACTGTGTCACTTT